ATAGAGTTATTTCAGTAGAAATAAGTTTAAGGTCCTAACTCGCCTTCAAGAACCTTAATATGAAAGTTTTAAGATATGTGCCAATGAGCAAATATTACTTTTTTGTCCAATTATATTCAGTAAATGCCCAGATAAATAACAAAAATATGGAATTTAAGCCCTTCACATTAGTTTTAATTGCTAGAAATCCAAATATAGTAAATAAAATAAGGAAATATCGATTAAAGAAGGCGCATAACGTATTCTAATTGTCTTAGATAATGTCCTATAGAATGAATATCCGTCCTTAGTAGTCATGCGAATATCTACAACAAGAGGTGATCCTTCTTTTATCGAAATGTTTTAAACTAAATGATAAAAAATGCATATAAAATCACCTATTTTGGCTTGTATCGCGTCAGGAGGGTCGATACGACGTTTGGCCCTTCCAATTCGATAAATTCGCGAATCCTCAGCATCATTTTCATCCTCCTCCTCCTCATCATCATCATCATCATCATCATCTGCCTCCTCATCTGCCTCCAGTTCACTAAGTATGCTTGTAAAGTACAGCTTGCGCTCATAATCTTCATCAACGTCTCCAGCAGCATTTAGAGTACTGTTATCTTTAGACATTCTGGAAGTCCCAGGCTCTTCTTCTCTAAAATTATCAACTGCGGGTAGCTTGACGCTTTGAAGGATTGATTGTCGGCTCCCCTTACGACGCTGTCGTGTAGTTGCCGCCTCGTCTTCTTCATCTTCTTCATCATCATCCCCCTCTGCTTCCAAAAGACGACCGTCTTTTAAAGAGCTATAAATGAATGGGGAGATCGGAGGTTTAAGAAAAGCGAAAGTACGAAATAGGGATAATGAATGTCAAAAGATGAGGTAAGAAGTAAAAATACAACTTGTCTAAGAGTCCTCAGGTTGGTAATACAATAGACGAAAAAAAGCATACAAAAATACAAGACCAGCAAAATAGACCCAAATATCCCAAAATGGCCGATCAGACCGAAGCAAAATTTGTAAAATTGAATTTAGCAGCACATGGTAAAAACAAAAAGATGTGTTGGTTTGGCATAGTTTTAGCAACTTGATCGAAACGATAAGGAGACCCTGTAGAACGTATCTAACCCAGCGCCATCTGCCATAGTATGCATGATTTCCAGCATCAGACCGTTGGCTTGGCGCATTCCCAAACGTTTCACCGGCATCGGTAGACGCCGTACTTAGCATATAGATAAAACTTCAAAAAAGAGCAAGTG